CCACACAGCTTCTTTACCATCGCCCCAGGAAAGAGAGAAAGGATGTAGCCCCTGCCAGTCAACCTCAGAGGTAGCAGTTTCTGCTTGTTGTGCTGAGCTGCCCTGGGCTAGACCTGCAAGGTGGATGGCATGCAGCAAGAGATCCGAGTGAGTGACTGCTGAGTGGCGAGCCGAAGTGACATGCTGGAAGCAGGATGAGGGACAGATGACAAGGACACACAGAAGCCCAACTTCCACAGGTGACACACAGCTCTGGCATGCTGGGAAAGAGCATCAGGTGGAGCAAAACAGACGTGTGCTCATCAGGAAGGAGATGACGTTGAGCAATGATGCTGGGTGGGTTAGGAGGTGGAGAGGCATGGCGGTACACAGCGACAGGCCCTGCAAACCGTGGCTACAGCCACAAACCAAAGGACAGTCTTCAAATGCAGACAGTGTGGAAACGTACCCCCATACCTATAGAAAGGAGCACTGTTAGACGTGACAGTCATTAGTGAAAGGCTGATGGTGACACTAGTCGATAAAACTAGAAATTGATGTAAAGTTAGAAATGTATCCAAAGTGCAAGCAGCTAGTCCAACAATTGTGGCTTAATAATTTTGAGAACAGTTACTTTTAGCAGGAGAAATTTTATTTTGTATCATGGTCATGACCGCTTTTCATCTATGGTGGTAACTGTCCTTTTTTTTTTTTTCAGACACTATTCCATTAACTGTCGAATTATTACTAACTCTCTATGACACTGAATAGCTGTTGAGCTTCCTGACACAACATCAAAAATAATGCCAGAAGAACACAAGACAATACTAGGAAGTTGCACAACATGTTGGCACTGGGATGTGAGCACTCAGCCTTTGGATAAAGGGAATAAGAATCTTATTCTCATCTGGGAGATTTTTAAGATTAGACAAAGCAAAGCCTGGGGGACGACTGGGCACCAGAGAAGGAACAGGTGGCCATGATGTAATTCTTTATTTTTGTTTATTGATTTGATTGTTTTGTTTTGTGACAGGATGTTTCTACATCACTGAGGTTGGCCTCCAACTAGCAATCCTATAGCCTCAGCCGCTTGAGTGTTGGCATTATAGGAAGGTAGCAGCATACTCAGATTCTTAAGTATATTTAAACAAGATAAACAAAAACAGAACCACCACCACCACCACCAACAAAAAAAACAAAAAAACCCATAAAAAAAAAAAGCCAAACCAAAGGACTCTTGGCTAAATCATGGAGAGATCTTGAGTCTCACTTTTCCATTGTTCTCTTACTGTTTACTGAGTTAGGAGAAATGGGCCTATCTTCTAGAAAAGGAGCTCTTGTACAACATACACAAGAATGTTCTGGCTCCACATCTTTGAAATCTCTTGACCATGATTAGTTCACAAAGAGCTGAGGTGAAAAGTAGCCAATCAGTGAGTAGTTACTGAATGAATGAAGAAACCGAGATAATGTAGGTAGTTTAAAACTAACAGTTGGACTGAATCCTTGAAGAATCCAAGCCACTGTGAAGGGAAACTTAACAAGCAGGCCTACCTAAATGGAAACAGGTCTTTTTCCAGTCTTGTCATCCAGAGTGAGCCATATTCCCTGCCCAGAAAGCTCCATTTGTCTATTTACTACTTCGGCTTTCTTATGCAAGCAGATGGCCCTAGTGGTAAACAGTTCCTGCTATGCCCAAGATGTTGGGAGTAGTTGATGGTACTTAATTTATTTATTTGATTAGGTCACCTTATGTGTGAGCTACCCATGCTCTCTGCAGTAGAGGGAAAATAGATACGGTCATTTCCTGGGTTGTGGATGAGGGCCAGGCGCTGGTTTGGGAAGCTTGTGATACACTATCAAGGGCCATGTGCCTCCGTGACAGTGGAAATGTATGTGCTGCTGCCAGATTTGTTTCAGGGAAGAACAGGTCCTAGCAACTAGGACGGTGCTACAGAAACCTGTCTAGATGAGCCCACTGCTGTCTGCAGTGGGCTATCAGCTGAGTAACATTGTTCTATACAGCCTTGCTCAGGCAGCATGGGCAGTAGAAGTAAAGGAATTTTCTCCATGTGATATACTCATGCACAGAGGCTATAGCTTTGCTCAAATTATATAATGGCCTTTATTAGTTCCTACATGGAAGATATCTATGTAACTTTGGTTTCTAATAGAGCAAGACAAAAAACATTCTTCCCACTGAACTATGGGAACCTGGGGTGAGCAGAGCAAAATTATCCACATGAATTAAGAACATCAGGCCTTTCTTGGGGGAATTATTTAGTGTCTTGACAGAGGGAAGGATTCCTGCAATAGGAAATCACCAAGAAAATAAACACATTCAAGTTTTTTCCTTCATCTTCTAAAGCCTTACATCCAGAATGATGCCTGGATCTTCTGATGCACCTCTGGTCCTAAAGGTTTCTAGCATCTACAGCCTTAAAAGGATCAGCTATCAAATGGCCGCATAAGTGTTACAGAGAAGACAGAGGAGGCCTAATGTGAGTATCTATGACTCTGGCCTATTCTACACGAGTACAATCAAGAAGAAATATAACTTATTCATTAGGTTCCAGAAAATAAATGACACTATCCTAGACAGTGTGCAGAACTAGGTACTTCTTGTAATCTCATATTACACATTTTAATCTTAATGCTATACTTCAGTTCTCTAATATTTGCTGTGTGTAATTTCAATATAACTCTAAAAACAAATAGTACCTCACTTTTTCAAATCCCTGAGGGAACCTTTGATTTGTTTCATTTTGACTTGTTTCTTTGAGACAGGTCTCACTATGTCCTTTGGGCAAGTCTAAACTCATTTTATATCCACACTTGGTCTTGAACTCTCTATTATTTTTGCCTCAGCCTCTTGATTGCTGGGATTACAGGTGTGTGCTACCATGCCCAACTGAGAGACTCCTATTAAACATTGATATTTACATAAATTAAAGTAACTTATCCTGAGCAAGTATTTAATAGCTCGAGCCAAATTAAGATGAGAAGCATTACAAATTAAAGCTATTCTCATAATTACCAAGGTGTGGAATGTCCTAGGTCGATGAACTACATATATTGAGGTATTGTATTTCCTTTGTTGCACTCAGTTATTTAAAGATCCAGTCCCTTTGGTGGATAATGAGTAGCTTTCCAGACACTTGATTAAAAACTGAGGTCAGAGAACAGGCTGGAGACTAAGGCCTGGCAGGCCTCAGCAATGGCTGAAAAACGAACATACAAGAAAACCTAGCTGGCAACGAGGGAGGCTGGAGAAGACCCTTAGCCGAGGCCAACAGAACCCTGCCATTGAATGGGCACACGGCACTGCAGAGTGTTTAAGTGGCCTACGGCTCATTATAATATTAAAACATACCTCAAGGGAAACAGGGAATGCATGAAATTGTATGTAGAACTGCATGTAACAGTGCACATGCAAAAAAGACCAGGCTGTGCAAATGAAGCAGAAAGCTCACATTATGTGATATACAAAACCCCATCATCTATGAGGCGCAGCTTTTTGACCTCTGGGATCCCTCTCCCCTGGCCTGCTGCATCTGTTGGAAGTTTAATAAATTGTTTTTACTTCAGCGGCAGCATCCTTTGTTCAATTCTTTGTTCCAGTGCACAGTAACCCATAATCGCTCTAGGAGTGTGCACCAAACGCTTACATAAGCTAGTACCAAAATCATAGAAAACATTTTATTCAGTTGAAGAGCTAACTAATCTAAAACATTTAAAGATGAGGCTTCCTGAATCACTGACAGAGCTAAATGGTTCATCTGTTTATTTGGTTAACAAAAATGTCTTTATCTAACATCAAAGATTCATGAAATTATTCCGTCCAAATTTTAGCTCAATGCCAAAGTGGGATAAATAGACTTAGTCCTATCCTTGACACGCTATCCACTTTTGCACTCAAAGAAACAATGAGTGGCTACCTTTAAGAGAGGCAGAGTAGTGTGCTAATAATATAAAGCGTACATATTAAAACTGCCAGTGCTCCCTACACCAAGAAAAAAAAGGCCAGCAGAGGTGATTGCCAACTTAATCTGCAGCCATATTTATTTCCTAAATTGTCCATATTTCTTCCTGATCTGAGAATTCCTGGTTATTTATTCTATAACATGAGTGGATTCATTTTTCTTCAAGACATTATTTTATTAATGCCACCTAAGAAAATATTGCCTTTAGTGACATTTGTAGGTAAGGTAATTCCCATTTAAGATTTAGCTAACTGATGAATCACATTTTTCAATTCTTCAAAAATATTTCTTATTCTTTATTATTTTAAATGTCTTTATTGTTACAATTCTCTCCCAGAATATTTTCTAGTCAATGAACTGCTGAAGATGAAATTGCACACACTGAACTACACAAAGACAAAGCTGCAAAAGAAACTGAAGCAAAAATTAACACTTCAAGGCCAGCCACGTGGTCAAAGGAAGTAGAATAATTAATATAAGTGCATATTGAGTGTGTGCAGTAGTTCTGAGAGTTCAATAGCTAGAAAGCTTTGACAAACAAAATGAAACAGATGTCAAGACTATATTAAAAAAGTATATAAAACCTAGGCCAAAAGGCTCCCAAACATAAAACTCCATTGGCATTCAATGGAGACCATCAAAAGTTTAAAACAAGTTAGCATATTTTCATATCACCTCCTTTAAATATAATCTTGAATACAGCCTTCTATACAAGTTTTAATAACATACCTAAAGTGCATATGTATTTTATGCTACTTCTGACTGATGTGTTTAAAATCAGTCATCGTTAGCTGAGATGTCAACAATATGCTTGCCAGTTTCCATGTTTAAATTTAAAACACATAAAATGTGAAAAAAAATTGACATATTCACAGACTGATTCATTTTTCAGAATAATGTATTCATAAAACAAAAATGGATTTCTTCTGGGATAAGCCTTCTTCCTGATCTAAACTTACTGGTTACTTGGAACAAGCTTCGCTGTGATGGATATGGAGCTCTGAGTTAGGGCTTTCCCATTTTTTGGCTCAAGCCTACCTTTCACGTCTTCATCCTCAATAGTGGTGTTTGAGCTCTCAGTTGACTCCTGTTCAGAAGAAAACACAGATTTCAGCTTCATACAATGAAGGGATGACTCTTATGACAAACTTGGCTGGTGATACATACATATCATGCAAATTTCTTCAGCAGGCTGTGTGCATATGCTGACATGCAAATGGACAAATATATCAAGTGATTTCCAACAGAAACAAGATGTCATATGATGCAAACATTTTGAAGGGAGTACTCTGGTCGCCTAGTCACTGATGCAAGATGAGTCCACGTGATTTGTAGAAGCAGAAGAAATATGTAGTTTATTTAAGAATTGGATAAGATGAATTCACATTACAGCGCCTCACACAGTGTGAGAAATGGAAGGAGAAATGGAATATTCTGGCAGAATGAATTTGAAGTTTAAAATACATGGATTTATCCCTAACAAACCAATCAGTAAGTAGAATTTCTTTGTGGTGGGCACCATGTCGAGTACAGAATTTGCTGCTATTTCTCTACCTTCGACCTTTGTTGAGAAAAGGCATTCCCTCCATCATTTGATTCAGAAGGTAGGGCTATCAAGCTGAGCCAGACTGAACAAAGTTGTCAGAAAGTTTCAGGCTTATGTTTAGAACACTGGAATCATAACAAAAAAAAAATTATTTTCAAGGGAAATTATTAGACTTTTTTGCCATTTTTTTTAACTCAGAAAGTGTTAGTCGTTGAAAAAGATATCTCTTCCCACAATGAGAAGATGATGTTATTTATAAAAACTACAAATTAAGGTGAAGAACAGTAATCTCGTTTAAAAGTGCACTGCAACTACTGGCGGGAAGATGCACTTCGTAAAGCAGATTTATGAATGTTCTTACTAAAATATTCCAACAAAATATTTTCTAGTAATGATATGCTGCAGGATTTGTTAGGTATTCATTTTCCACTTGGAATGATTAAAGGCAAGAGCTGAAAATAATTGGGACCAAATTTACAGTTGGAAAACAGAGTTTCAAAGGTAATAAAAAAAATTCCAGTCAGTGTCCATTTATAGATTTGGTATTTTTAGAAAGCCATCTATTCATGTAAATACCATATATAATATTTAAAGCAAAAGATAAACTAACTAATGTCCAGAGTCTCCACAAATACAAAAAAAAAAAAAAGGCATCCATGCATTTCTTTAATGTGATGTAGCATTCAGACTTAAAAACTCAAAATGAAGGTTAAACCCATGCACTTAAAAACAAATGGATTCTTGTAAGCAATGAATAGCATGCAGCAACTCTTACAAATGACAGAGCTAGGATTACGGCAGTGTCTGCTCCAGCTGCTATGCTTGGGCTTTCATTTCAGAGTGCCATTAATGGGATTTTTCTCATATGTGCTGGTCCTGACTACCTCAAACCTTTTTGGGACTTGGAACATCTCCAGTGTCATGACACTAATGTACATCATAGATTTATAGACAAAACACTTCATGTTTTCAACATGGGTCAACTAAATATTGAACCAGAGATTCCTGATCCTTCAATGATTAGAGTAAGGACAAGACCTGTGACCATATTCAGTAATTTAGAAAAGTCTGATGCATCTTCCATCCTTTAGAGATGACACTGCACAAGAAGTTATAAACTGGACATAGAATACACTTAGAAAATGTCTTCTTTCATCCTTCAAACATGTATGCGAGTGTTGGTATGAACACAGTATACCATAATTCACAATAAGTGGAACACAGCAGTCTTCATTCAGCATAATACTTAAATATCTGTTATTATAATTCATTTAGATTGACAATAAGCATTTAACAAGAAGTGGACCTCCCTGATTCTCTTCAAATTCATGGCACACAGTAACACTACCATCAATGTCATCAAATACAGGGAATGGAAAAACAAGCAAACAGAAACAACAGCAACAAAACCACTGTGACAACAGAACAGAGGACAACTGAAATGCTCAAAAGCAACATTACATTAAAGAAATACCCACTCGTTATTTCGGAAGACGATGGGAAGATAGCAAGAAATTCTGAAATTTCATGCTGTGTGTGTTTATTGTACAATGCACAAACAGGCACAGAGAAATAGAAAGACCACATGGAATTGCTTAAGATACACAGTCATCTCAACACAAAGACTCTGTAAATGTTCAACCTGACCCTTATTTTTTATTGACTAAGGGATCATTGATTTCTCTCTCAGGCTGCCATTCATTTTAATCTGAAAGAAGTCTACATATAGTTCAAGATGAATTAGGCCTGGAGGAGCACGTGGTAACAAGAGGGCCATTTTTTTTTTCTTTCCCACTTGAGATAGAGACTCTGTTTTGACAGGGCATTTGATGAGATGTGTAATCTTATCAAAGCAAATGGGGTTGATTCTTTCTGAATACCTTGATTCCGTCAGGATTGTGGATTACAGTAGTTTGGGGCTCCTGAGTGAGAACAAAATAGAGAAAGAAACAGTTCGTATTGGTAAGTACATTCTTACTAGTCTGTGGGACAGAGCAGAGAGGACCAACAGACAAGACTAAATAGTGACAAGAGCTAAAGCCATGTCAAGGGCTTTCAACAGGTGACAGGATCTCTGAGGAGGCCTCCCCGTGAGCCCATGAGATCACACGTCCCTACCCAGAAGCAGCATGCAAAAGACCTTATTCCTGATAGCTGAATGACGGGCAGGGCTTTGCAGTTTGGGGACCTAAAGAGGCACCCACTGTTTCATCAGGCCCTACACCAGGCAGGACTTCCCTTTCTTCTCTGAAAACTCTATTGCCGTCTGTCTCACAGAAGAAGGCCAAGATCATCGTAAAGAGAAATATCGGAGAAGACATCAAATTCTCTGTGAAGATTTTTTTTCCAGCTGTATTGCCTTGGGACTTGACTCTGAAGTCATTATAATCAACACATAGCTGAGAAGCCTGGAACACTGGACCACACTTTAAAAAATATCCACAAAACTGCCCAAAGCAGTGCACATCAAAGCGCATAAAAAATTGTGAAGAATACTTTAAAAAGTTCATTTAAATGTTTTAGAACTAGTCATAAAACACTATCATTGGAAACACAGTTGAGATGTTCTATGTTAATCACATCAAAAATAAGTTTTCTGCCTTATCAACTTCATATATAAAATACTAAGCTGTCCTTTCTTCTCTATGAATACTCTATTGCCATTTGCCTCACAGAAACTGGCCAAGAACAGCATAGATAGAAATATCTGAGAAGACAGCAAATTCTTTATATACTATTCATTATATTATTGTTAGGTAACATTTTTCACAAAGAAACTATTATTTTCACATAGTTTTCTTTGAGAAAACTACATGGATAATATTAAAATGTAAAAATATATATTAAAAAAAAAAAGGAATGAGTGTTCACAGAGAGATAGCACATTTGTTACATCTACCAACGGTTGCCTTGGCACCTGTGAGTTGCTGTAACCGGGGTGGTCTTCACCACAGACACTTCCCCCAAGGGGAAGCCTGAGCTGCCCACCTAGAAAACCCAACCGCTGCTTCTTTTCTTCCTTGCTGTAGCCTGAGCTGCGACACTTGCTTCACTAGTATATAACCTGTTATTTTTGTTTTGTTTGTTTTCTGTTTTTTTTTTTTTTTTGAGTCTTTCTTTCTCTTACCTATTTTTAAGAAAACATTTATTTTTCTTTTACAGGTCTAGGGATTGAACCTCAGGGTCTCTTTTAAGTTAGGAAAATGTTCTCTCACTGAACTATGCTCTTAGCCCTTGTAACCCTCAATCTCAATATGCCTTTTCCTCCAAACGTTCTTCAGTTGAGCCTACTTGTTAATCTAGTAAAGGTAACGCCTAACATTTTCAAGACAATGGCAATAACAGTCTGGGCACAGTAATGAATAAAAACAAGTTCTGGGAATTGTAAGTCAAATTATGAAACCATGTTAAGAAGATCTTTTATAATCCTATGTACTAAACACCAGGATTCAGATTTTGAATTGTAACACGCTATTCCAATGTGTAAAAGTAACTGAGTTAATTCTATACATTTGACTGAAATGGACTGTCTGATAGCTTAGCCTTCTGTGTTATACACTCTCATTCTGTGGAAAAAATGAAAGTGACAATTTAATTTGAAACACAATAGACAGAAAGCTTTGACATAGGCAGTGCCTCTTTATCCCAGAAAGTGAAGTCTTGCAAAGCCATGTTGTCTTTCAATAAGAGAGAAATGGGAACTCTGAATAAGGTCTACTTTTCATGTCATCTTGCAGGAATCCTGTTAGCTCTCCTTGATGCCAACACTCTCTTCGTAGAAAGAGAAACCATTGTTTGCACGATCAGTAGCAATCATCACCAGAAGAGCTAAGAGTAACTAAAGCGCATTCTACTGCGTTTCCCAGCCAGCATGCAAGAATTCCAACTGCAGAGAAAAGCATGATGTTTCACAATGAAATGAGACGTCTCGTGTTAGAAACACACTGCTTGAAAACTATCTCAAGAAAAGAAAAGAAAAGAAAACAAAACAAGTTTTTCTTCTATCTTTGAAAGCAAAACCAAACCAAACAAAAAACCCAAATCCCCAAACAACAACAGCCCCTCCCCCCAAAAAAAACCCACCGACAAATGAAGTATTGATACATAGATATCAATTTAGTGAAAGCGTATGAGTGAAACAATAGCAAACAGTGCAGAATTTAAGAAGGGTACAAGAGTCCAGGTATACCAGCGCCGGGGTAGGAATATTTTCTTTGGGGCTGGTTACCACGTTGGCTTTGTTGTTTATCTGTGGATACGCAGAAAACAGAAACAGAGATGCCTTTATCTTCTTGGTCTACAATGTCTACAAGTAGCGTGTCTACACGGAAATACAGACATGAGAATAAGGAGCCACAGGAGATGGATGAGAAAGGCTGTATTGGCTGACATGAGTGAAGAGCACATCTAGTCCCTGAAAGGTAACTTCCTATTGGGGAAGAGTGCATGATGAGGCCATCGCAACCTCCTGTCCAATCATCAAGATTCTTGTGATTAAAATGCCACAGGAAAGTAATGTGTTTAGTGTTGTTCATCAGTAGATGCAAATGAAAGACAAACACTCTGGAATAGTCTTCCTGTTTTGAGAAAGACTTTCTTCCTAGAACTGCCTCATTCTAGTGAAAATGTAACTCACTTGTATCTAAATGCACACAAACTTATCAGGTAAAGTGCATGACTACCCAACACCTGCCCACATTCATACATGAACAACACACACACTATCATGTTTTGGAGGCATTTATGGTGTTCTTCCAAACTATAGGGAAACGTCTAATAAAGCCAGAAGAACTAGCTTTCAAAGATTCAGTTATCAAGCACCATGTTCAACTGTAGCTGTTTTTTAACTGTACATGTGAGTTTATGTACTGGAGATTATGGAAGTGATGTAGTTTTCTTGTTTGAAACCTGAATGCAACGAAGTATTTAAACAGTACAGTATTATTCTCAGGAGGCGTGAAAAAGGTGTTGTAGTTATTCTGTTAAGGTTAATACTTCTTTTAAAGAAGCTTAGCTAGAATGAGCCCATGCTGAAATCACTTTCACATTATTCGTAAACTCAAGGCAACTGTATTAAGTTGTGTCTGAATTAATTTAGCAATTACAGTTGTCAATTAAAAAAACGAGTAAACACTCGTTATGTCCTGGCTTCTTTAGTCTCAAAGAGAAAACTGGGTTTTGCTTTCACAGATGGGCAAACTCATGAACAGCCCACGGACAAGGGTTCAACTTATTTACCTAAGAATTCTATCAGAGAGAGAACAATGCAATGTGAAAGCGGGGCAGCATGTTAGGAGTGCTGGTTAGCGCTGACCTAGGACACTCTTTTTCTACTCCCACTAACTAAGAAACAGGACTGTGCACTGTGTGCATTTTCCCAGTAGGAGAAATCTGGCAGACACAGGTCCTCACCATCATCTGAACACTCGAACTGGACCTCCTTTTCTGAATTGACCAATCAAACAGAAAGAAAGAGAAAAGAAAAAAAAAACAAAACAAAAAACAAACAAACAACAACAACAACAAAAAAAAACATGGCCTGTTGAATTTTAAAGTAACAAAACATGGAATACATAATTTTGTTGCTGAAGAGGTGTTTCTAAGTTGGCTGGAGGGAAACTGTTCTGAAAATGTTATCACATCAGGGTAACAGTGAGAACAACTATCTATTGGACCTGTGAGCTCTCCAGTACTGAGCAGTACAGAAAACCATGAGGGAAACATTTGGAAACTTAAAAATACCCATTTTCCTCAATGTCACACCGGGAAAAGGCAGACATCCACTGTCATTATTGAAATCTAGAATGAGTGAAATAAGCAGAAGGAAGACACATTTAGCTTGAGGAATGGAAAATGGTGACCTAGTGAGCACAGGGCACAGTGTCTCCAGAGCTGGAAATTCTCAGGTCACACACAGACAGGTGGTGAGGTAATGAATGACTCCATATAAATTTAGGAACTGACAAATGCCTTTTTATGTCATATTTTTCAGTAAGAACTGACCACCTGATTGGGTCAAGTTCAAAGGTTAGAATATTAATTGATTCCCAAGAGTGTTGACCTGTTGAGGAATGTACACATCGGCCATTAGAAGAGAAAGAAAATGATTAACAATACTTTCACGTGATACTCTGGAAAGACAACAAATTATTAACCAAGTATGAGGTTACACGATTAAAAATAAACTCTCTGTAACCAAGACATTATCGGTAGAAAGTAAATTATATTATATTGGTTAGAAAACCAAGAAAGTAAAAATATTTTTGCTATCATCTTTCTTGGAAGGTTTTCCTAGTGTCTGCTCAGGGTAGCACCTTGAGCATGCCTTTAATCCTTAGGATTGAAACTCATGGGCTTTAGAGAAACTGCCCAAGTAGGGACATTTACTCGGTGGTGCCTTTGACTTCTCAGATAAACTTTTCCCACATTTTGGTGGGCTTCAAATCCATAATCATAATTACATTAGATTTTTTGTAAGTTCTTAGGTCAGCAGTGTGGTTTGGGACTGTGTAGAAGCAGAGAGGTCCTAAACATTTACTTTATACAGTGGCTATATTTTAAATATTGTTTTTCATGGTTAATACATAATCAAGTGAAAAGGATCGAATGTTTGTTAGCAGATATGATAATCATGTTTGTGTGTTGATCTATTGTGTGCTTCAGCCTGCACCCTCTTTACAGAACTGTAAAGTGCAATAGCTACACAGACTTGGGACTTTCAGGTAACATTATAACTATCCAACAGCATATGAAAGTCAGAGACAGTTTAAGAGAACCGTTTAACTTACCTTTACTCCATCTGGCTTCTTCAACAAACTCTTGGCTGCTACAAAACGAGAGCAAAATCACTTTAGTGAGTTATCCACAAACCCTCAGGGAGATGATGACAAATCAAGTAATCGTCTCCTGCCACCTTTGCTGAGCTATGGCCAACATACACCAAACCATCAAGGTCACACTGATGAGCAAGAGCTTACAGGACACTGAGATACAGTATCACTTTTCTGGTTCTGCCACGGCAAATTCAGAACTAAATTCTTGCATAGTTCATGGCATGAAGTTGAACACTTTACCAGCTGTGCACTGGACTTTATGTCACTGTTGGTTCTGAAAAGGATACTGGAACTTTTGCTGGACTATCCTTCATAATCCAGAAAGTTGGTTTCAGTCTCGAGACACCAGCTGACAGACTGAATACATGTTCATTCACGCCACGTCTCGTGACCATGTCAGCTCTGCTACTGAAGCTCCTCTTTCTAGAGGTTGAAATCTCATTCACAAAAATTTGCTCTGGCTAAACCAATGTCTTCTTTATTTTGTTTTTTAATCAGATAACTCCAGTTGGACTGAAAATACAAACATCTACATAAATCAAATGGTACTTTATTGACCAGGAGCAAATTTTTTAAATGCTTAGCATATGGTAATAAGAAACGCATTCCGTGTTCTTTTAGACTTCAAAATCAGAATACAAAGCCTTCCTAAACAAAGGTCTTTGAATGGACAAATTAGAAACCATAATATTTGGAACAATATCTAAAATAAAATGAAATCTTAAAGACATAGGTTCTCATAGGAAACTTCCTTTTTCTAGGGCACTTGAGCAACTGCTTATATTTTACCAATTTCCGTCAGCCTATTAAAACTAGAAAGCTTCTAAAGATGACTGCATACACAGTGAACAGCAAGTATAACTGTAACGACAATTAATATAGTGGTGTAGAACACTCACAGATCTGGAGGACACAGTATGTACTTCCATTTAATGCTAATATACACAGTCATTTAAGCACAGGGAGCCTGACATTTAAAATAAAACACCTGGCTGTAACGAAACTACACAAATATTTCGTTTATTGATATTCCTTTGGTTTGGAATGCTATTTTAGTTTTCAATTTGGCAATATTTTAAATTTACCTAAAAGACACAGATATTGATTTTATCTCGTTTTAAGCAACACGGCTATTAAATTTTATCAACGAAGACTGTTATTCAATAGTTGCCTTAGTTATGGTGAAAAAGGAATACTAGGGAACTCTTGTGGCAGTTAACAGGCTAGAGAGCAAACAGAATAATTTGGATTGCAATAGCAAGCAAAGAAGACAATGATTTGGGGGAAGCAGCCATTTGGCTTGGGAGAAGCAGAGCCATCATTTGTGTGACTACCACCTTACCTCACAAGAAATACATTCCATATTCAGGAAGAAAAGAAGAAATAAAAACAACTTTATAACAACATACTTACGGACGTTTAATTTAAAGAGTATGTTTGGTAACGAAAAGAATGAATGAAATACTCAAAACTAAAATGCAACTACAAGATGGAACTAGAAGATGTAACTGAATATCATGTTATTCAGTTGATATAAAGGTGATGGGTCAAAACAGTTTGCTTTTCATGCAGAAACATTCAGAGACAACATGGAATTCACCTATTAATCATGGTTTTTGGTTTACAGAATGGTGAAAAGGAACACATGAGGTATACTAAAGCATCTATAAATGTGTATAGTCATTATTAATAAAGTCCCAATTTACACTTAGGGTGTATTGAGAACTTCAACAAAATATCATTTTAGTTCTAGAGAATCTTTGAAAAGGTCTCTCTTCAATAACAACAGACACTATTGAAATCCCCTTATTTCTAGTGATTCACCGAGTACCAGGCCACAGTGAAATATCTGTTTAGTTTAAGGTCATATATACTGGTTAATGCTTAATGACCTGGCACTGAGCCCACCCACATAAACGTGAATCACATTAACTAGGTATTTACAAAACAGCCTGACACAGGCTGCAGCATCGGATCTGGGCAACGCAGGCCCTGAATGTGTAGCACTGGGCACTGTACTGGCACGTGGTGGCCATTGCTCACCAGCCCATCATTTCACATGGGTTCTAAGTGGGAAGAACTGCCCTGCTAACACGGTCAAAGCAGTAACTAGATGACTGAAGAGATGTCTGGCTCTCAAACTACTCATATGATCCTGACCACCCGATTGTCGCTTTAACCTCCTGGCTGGGCAAGACAAAGTCAGAACTCGTCACTGAATGCACCACATCCCTATCCAAAACCAAAAGCACTGTTACTTTTGACAGCTGTTCTGAGACTAAACTTCTAAACTGTGCTACTATTATTTTTTTTTTAACAGTGTCTCACTACATACCCTGGTTGGACTAGAACTATCTAGGCAGAGCTGGCCTTGAACTCACAAAGTTCCACCTTCCTCTGCCTCCTGAATGCTGGGATTAATTACATGCAACACCCGATGACCCTCCGCAGATTACAAGTTTATCAAAGGTAACTTAGTTGCTGCTTTAGACCGCTCCATATGTGCTTTATGAGCACTTTCCAACTTTTGAAGGCCTATGGCTTTTAGATCATTTATCAAAGAGGGCTCCAAAACGTAAAAATTACTTCCCTGGAAGTAATACAGACTTTACGTCTATTTTGGAGAGTCACTTTTATAGAAAAGAAACTTCTTGGCTGAACTTAGCGCCTGTGCTCCTTTCTTTTTCTTCTATTTCCCCCCAGGCAATCATTTGGAGGTATACTATTGTGGGAAGATGCCCCCATTTGCCCAGGTAGTCAGTTCTCTGTGAGTTCTCACTATACAGCGTTAGTCCTTGTAAGCAGTCTTAAAGAATGTGAAGACACACTAGTCCTAAGTTCAAAAGAAATTAGGCCTATCAGAATGGGTTTCCACAAAATGCCTCATCTTAAAAAGTCTTTCTTTTTGAAATTCCATTAATTAGACACAAAATCACCCTCATGGTTATTTATGAAATATCAATTTAAAAAATGAGACATATATATCATACTTGTGTGACTCCAGCATTTTGAGAACTAGGTGTCCGGTCTGGGTGGCTACAGGAGTAGGAGTGTCCCCGTCCCCACTGTGTGTATGTGTGTGATAACCCCTTGTAGTTATTAGACTTTATAAATTTTTCTTAAACACACACACACACACACACACACACACACACACACACAGGCTAGAGAAAGGCAGAAGATAAGTAGCAGAGTTCAAATGTGTATACCTGAAAAATTTCTCGTAGCCAGCATAGTTGTCAAGATGGCGCCCTATCAAAGAAACAAGAAAAAAAAAGATCATAGTTGCCTCTACAACTCTCTGACCTAAAATCATGTAGCAGGGGCTAGCAAGCTTCCTGGTTTTATTTTCGAATAGGACTTTGTCACACTGTGCAGCTGCTTCCTCTGAGGAGAGAGAGAAACCACGGCACACATTGATACATCCAGCCCATGTCCCATCCTGGACTCAATTATGGAGCTCCCTCAGTTTCCCTCAGATCCAGGAGGTCTGACTATTGACATCTACAGTGTCAAAAGTTTTGCCTAAACTTTCCCTTTTAGCAGTTTTCTTTTTAACCTCAGCAAATCAACCCTCCCACCCCTTCCGCAACAATGTCAAATTTCTTACCTTCAGTTTCCGTCTAGCGTTAAATTTCTTCAGGCAGTCTACAGTCTCCTGTCTGTGCATCATGGACGCAACAGTGGAGCGTTGCTAAAAGAAGAGAAGAAAGAGTGACTTGGGGATGTTTAAAATATACCAAAGTCAGTGAAAAGTCACAGTTTCGCCCAATCTTTACTAAGGGCCTCTGAACGCATAAAATCAAATTGCAAGTATTTAACCTTCAAAGTTACCTACAGGAAAGCACGGTTTTACAAAGACTATTAGTGACTGAGCTCAAACACTGATGAATAGAAGGTACAGAAATGAAGAATATTCATAATCTCTCAGATCATCATTTTAGTGAACATTTTATCACATTTTTATTAGAACACCCTCCATTTACTTAGCATTATACAACCACCCTAAAAATTTACAGAAGTTTTTAGATCCCCTTACAATTTCCTTCATTTTTCCTTAGGGCTTCTTCACAGTGTTTGGACCACTGCAGCTATCCGGCATCCCCCCAAAACTATCTCTAGCTTGTAAATTTCACATGTTTCCAAAGCTGCTTAATCATGAAAGAATTGGAATTTGTAAATTTTTTTCCTTCTGGTTGTCATTTTTTATTCTTTGTTCATGAGTCTTAATAACTGGAATGGGAACTAGTCATTCCTGTTACTGTAGCCAATAATTAGCAATTTGTGCAGTTTGGAGTTCGCCACAGGCAATGGTGTTTTTCACTATTATAAAATTCATTTGTTAAATACCTTGAGTGAAAAATACATTAATGTTCATTTTTTCTGCAAGATTATTTTAAATCTACGAAAAAAAAAATGACTAAGAGTTTACTTTTAGTTTGGCCTCCAGGGCGTATGGGAAAGTGACTTACACAGATCCATGGGTGTTTCAGTGCCTCAGAGGCTGTGATGCGTTTGGCAGGGTTGATGGTAAGCATTTTGTTGATGAGGTCTTTGGCTTCAGGTGTCACCGTGTCCCATTCTGGTGATGGAAACTTCAAAGATAGAAATTAGCAAAAAGTTTTTAAAAATAGACACACTAAACCAGACATGTTGGTACATGCCTTTAATCCCAACACTAGGGAGCCAGAGACAGAAGGATCAGGAGTTCCAGTTAAGCCTTAGCTATGTGGCAAGATCAAGGGTAGCCTGGTATGCATGAGATCCTCTTAAAACACTTCTACTCCCTCACAGAGTCAAATGAAGAAAAGCCAAATATATTTCTCATTTCTATAAGCAGTGCACTGATTCATAAAATTTCCCATTATATAAGTTAAATTATATCAAAAATAGATTAATTAATAGTACTTCTAATGCTACAAAAAAGAAAAACTGACAAGATGAAGTTGGTCATGTTTATTTTTATTTTGGTCCATTGGCTTTGATGTGAGCATGTCTGAAATATTAATGTGTGAATTTCTAAAACACTTAACCAGAAATAACGCTTGCAAGATAGCCATGATCTTGCAAGCCCCAGGAGAGACTGGAGAAAGAAATCATCTTGAATTGTCACCATCTCTCATTCTACCCAAAAAGAAACCATTTCTCCATTATGCTGTGATTTGAAGAAGGGTAGATTGTACATGACAACTGGCTGGACCAGGAAGCAGATCCAAAGCACCTCCCAAGATAAATTTGCACTCAAAAAAGGTTGTGGTCACTGTTTCATCGTCTGCTGCTAACCAGATCCACCATGGCTTCCTGAATCCCAGGAAACAATTACATCTTAGATGTGTGCTCAGAAAACTGATGAGATACACCAGAAATTGCAGTGCCTACAGCTGCCCAGTGGTATGAGGCGCAATGCTTCAAAAGCTGAATCAGGCTATGAAGTGTTAAGTCTGTTACAGCCACCTGGCCTCTCCCAAACTGACCAAACATCTTCAAGCACTTCTACAAGAAAACACTTCTACAACTAACAAGATGCAGAAAATGCCTTCCAGAAATTCACTGACTCCAGAAACATGAATTTTTATGCAATGGAAATAAACTTATTTCTCGCTGTCAAAAATATATTGACTGGACTGTGATGGTTCCTATTTTGACTAATAAAGATGTAGTTATAACGATTTGAAATTTATAGTCTGAAACTCTAAACTTTTTGCACAAACCCAATGGTCATCCTAACTATTTTTGATAATTAATCTTCCTTTTACATGATAAGTCTATTTTGTACTGACATAACAGTAGATAGACTGTTCTTCACAGGTTAAGAGAAATTTACCCCAAAATAGTAGATAAATGACAGAATATCAAATTATTAAAAAAATATTAACAGCAACAACAACCCTTGCCCTTGGCAGCAAACCAACCAACCCTCTTCCGAAGCTGCATGGAGACTTATCACATACATCATAAGCTCCAGCCTTGATCTGCTGGTAGAGTCTATGCTGGTCTTCATCCCAGAAGGGTGGGTAGCCCACCAGCAAGATGTAGAGGATGACACCTGAGGGGACCATAAGAGACAATGAGTCAAATGTGGCTGACCAACACGGGGTGAGGACACAGGGGAGCACACTGGGGATGACTGCAGAGAGGCGTGCTGTGACTTGTTCTGAAGCCTCCCTTCTCGGGAAGGTGGCGGCTCTTCCTTTCTCCCAAGGGCTCCACACTGGCCCCTTTGTTAATCCACCCCAGCGAACAAAGTGTTGCAAGGAGGCAGGCAGGGCAACGCCCAGAGATAAAATACTCCCGTCATTTTGGAGGACGTGTTTTGCCTCCCCGGACACTTTTCTATATACATTCTATACAAGGTGAGGCTTAACTTTTTAAAAATCTACTTCCTTATTTACTGACAGTGAGGACTTTGGTTGAATGCAGTGTCCTGGTTACAAATTTATACTCTAAATCACCAGTGTCTCTTGGGTTGCTGATAACATCCAAAAAGACATAACCAATGTCTCTTCAAATAATCTGAGTTTTCAAAGCTAAAAGTTTTTCAATCAAATAAGCCTCACCAAAGAATCATATATTATAGGAGAGCAAAAGGAAAGAGGAGGGTAAAATTGTATGCAAAATCCAATCATAAGCACACAGTTGTAATATAATTTGTAAAAATATGTAACCATAGGCATTGCTGGTACACAGACAGGACCGGTTCCAAGATCGCCTCGCAGATATCAAACTCTGTGTATGCTCGGGTCCCATTTATAGAGCTGTGGAATTCATTAAGCTATGCAATTCCGTGTATTTGAAATAATGTCAGTAATACAAAAGAAAGATTTTTCTCCACTCCTTGAACCATACGTGAGAAGTAAAACTACTGAAAAGGAAGTTTCTTTGCAACTTAATCCTAAAAAATAAGCACAGTATTGGTTATCACCATGACCATCATTACTGCTGAATCATCTGCTCCATCAGATAACAAAAATAACTGCACAGTAAATTAAAGTACATTAAGTCTTCAACAGTACGATTTATAAATCATATTTTCGGCCTTGGTATATAAGTCATGATATTTGTTTTTTTAAACTGAATATTATTTAAAATATCTTATTCCATGTTAATCACCATCCCATTACTCAGGAAAATTGCCAGGGATAATCAGCTTGCAAAGGTGACAGGTTTATTGTACTGTGACCGTTACAAGTCGTGGTCCATGCTATACTGGCCACAATGTGCATGCCGGGGTGCTGATGTGACATATGGATACTGGCTGTCTCTCATGGCCTCAGTGGCCTTTGCTAATCACTGCCTGCATGTTTTACTAGACAGAATTCTAATTCTATCTCACCTTTTAAAAATAGGAAAACCCTTCCCCATTACTTGATTACCCTAAGGTAGGGTCCATGTTAGAGAGACTGAGTAATGGCCCATTTCTTTTGAACTTTACTAAGCTGTTTTTGAAATCACTCAATTACTCGTAAGTGTTTCCCAAATTTCAGAACGCCTCCTAGATGTTACCATCATAAACAAATGGATTTAATTTATTTTTGTTTGTGTGCTTTTGAATTCAGTAAACTATTTTTATTTTTAGCAACCCTGCCTGTCACTGTTGCATCTCTGGCAGGCAGAAATGGGCTTCATGTTGGCTCCGGGGTCCTGTGAACACAAACCCAGTGTTCTTTAACTTTTTCTTTCTTTATGGAATGACAAGCTACTCCTGTACTCTCTGTGACCAAGATTTGGAAACAGCTAGTACTATGAGTGTAGGAGAGTAACAGTATACCAAAACTAACGGTGACCACGTAAGGGTACTCTGTGGAGACACACGTACATTGAAAATGAATGAAGAGAGACACAGTGGTGGAACTTACATATCAAAAGAGATGTAAAAGACTAAAGGAAACAAATTAATAGCAAACTATTGAAACAAGAAAGTGGATAGGGAAAACTGAAGACAGCCAGTTATACCAGCTACTGCTATGGAATTTTAGTAAGTTGTATTATTGTCATACTTAAAAATGGAGTCCTTTTTCTGTACAGATATAATGACATGAAATTTAGAATAAAGCAATCTCAGAATAGCGGAATAAGTGAGGGTAAGATGACGTAACCTCAGATGCTCATCATGCTATTCTCTCCTTTTGTATATTTCAACATTGCTAATGTCAACAGAATAAAAACTTTTTTTTGACACAGTTGGTTTCAGTGTATGACAATAATACAACATATAAAACTCCATAGCAATGGCTAGTGTAACTGCTTGTCTTCAGTTTTCCCTGTCCACTTTCTTGTTTCACTAGTTTGTTAATAATTTGTTAAGTGATGCTGCCTGTTTTTTTTTTTTTTTTCTTTCCTCGTTTATATTAATTTGTGCTTGGAAGATCTGAGAGGTGTTTGATTAATTAGAGTTTTGGGAAGCACTGATTACTGATTAGGCAGAAAGCCTACGTTATCAAGAATATTCCAAACGTATTTTAATGAAAGCTAATGATAGAAAAAAATGATTGAGCCTATAATCACAGAAATGCTCAAACACTGTAAAGACTGCTCTCAGGGAAGAAGGGATGACGAGAAGCTGCAGTGAAGTTGAAGGAGAAATCTCCAAGACATCTACTTGCCCTTAGCAAGGGAAGCACACTATACTAGGTGCCTCTGGGAGCACCTGAAACACGCACTTAACCAGAGGGCATAGGCATGGCTCACCCGCATCTTGTAGTGCTCTGAAGATGGAAAGTGCTAAATAGTAATCATGGGCTGGACAGGAACTAGAAAAATCAAAACCAGCAGGATAAAATCCATTTCTCAGAAGATAGAACTACCTATGCCACGGAACAGAGTTGACAAAGATAAATAATAAATGATGATATTGCCCCAAATAAAAGGTTCAGGTATCTCACCAAGATGATTAAGGGGTATTTACAATAGACTGAATGTCTGAGTTTTCACAAAAAATTTGTATGCTGGAACCCTAAACCCCTTGTGATGTTTTGTGGAAGTGAAAGGTAGCTAGTTCACAAGGGTGGGGAATCTCAGGAAAAGAACTAGTGCCCGTTAGAGGTCAGAGCCCTTCTTTATCTAAAGAACAGGAGTAAGAATTTGACAGTGCGTAATCTTGAAAACAGTCCTCACTGGAACCACCACTAGCTTCGTCCTCTTGGTCCCCCAGCCTCCAGAACTCTGAGCCACACATCTGCACCAGGTCCATGCTGCTTTCCTCCCGCAGCCTGCATGCCACCTCTCTGCAACCTTTGCTGTACCACATACAAATTCTAAAATCTGCTGCCCTAAAGGAGACTCTGGCTGGCTTGGTCAGTGGTGCCAAACGTGGCGTTCATTAGAATCACATGGCAAGCTTGGAAAAAATGCAAGATTCTGAGCCTTACCTGACAGACTGGCTTTTTGTTTTGTTTTGTTTTAGTTGTCTTTTAAAAAGAAAAGCATTCTATTTAAACACAGAACATCATGTTGTACATGAAATAGATGCCCGTTTTTCAAGGGCGCAGCTCAGGGGTGTCAAGTTGGCTCACAGTGTTAAGAGCAGCTCTCCAAAAGGCTGTCTCTCAACACTGAAACCTCTTTCTGGCTTTGTAATTGAAACTACATCAGATACCGGAACAGAATCACACAGGGTTTGTCTTTTTATGCTGTTCTTTTAGGTTACTAATGTAATGCCTTTGCGGTTCGTCCATCTGGTAGAGCATGTGAGAACACTGCCTTTCTTTTTAAGGCAACATAATATACTATTATGTATGACACTGTGCTTAACTGTCAGCAGGTATCATTACCATCTTGTGAATAATGCTATAATGAACACAGGCAGACACAGGTTCTTCAAGACTCTGCTTTCAAGTCTTTTAAATATATACCCAGGACTGGGATTGCTAGATCGTATGACCTCAGAGAATTTTATCCAATACTTCTGGGGCATGTCCCAGGAAGCTGAACTTTTGTTAAGACTTCAGATCATGCGCATACTCTGTGGTTTACAGTTTTAAAAGCACGAAATTCGAGAAATTACACATGCTCAGTCTAGAGACATTTAAGAAAACGTAATGCATTGGGAACAGTAGGTTAAGGCTTATATTTGTGAGCCAGGCCCTCTGTGTGGTGACTTTTGAAGATTGATAAACAGTGGTGGCCCAGGGTCAGGCAGCTAGAGGACAGACAGTAGCAGCTCACTGTCAACTGGGCTGGGATTTCAGACTACCAAAATGCTGAGTGTTGACTTATTCCGGCTGAAATATGGAAAAGCTGTTTCCCTGGAGTTATGTGGCCGTGGACACACAGTTCACTATGTGAGAAAGAAGAAACATATTCCATAATTGTCCAAAGGTTTGGCCAAAGTCATGGTACATTCTGTGACGGTCAGCGATATACTGTTACTCATGAGCATTCGAAGTGACACCTAATAAGACAGATAAAGTTGTAAGAAGCATAAATATATTCTGGGAGGCAAGCCTATGTTTACCAGCTTCCCCCTCCGCCCTCTATAAACATTTGCTCATCCCAGGAGCGAATTATGGAAGCTGCTTTCTATATAAGAAAACCATTAAATCCAATTTACCATTGGTAATGGCAGTGCACAGGGTAATGTTCTGGCTTCCTTTGCGTCTATTGTTTACATTTCACTAATGGACTGGTTGCTTTAAAAGACCAGGTACCGGTCAGACCATACTCTGGGGTCATAAAAGCAAGGTAACGGTGGTGCTTAGGTCTCCCAAGTGCAGATAAGTGCATGCTGCTAATAGTGCTCAGCTTCCCTTCAGTCCCTCTATCCACGCCGTGCATGCTGCACTCGACTTGGTGTCAACCACCAGTATGGTAACGACTCAGCTATCATGTGCTTTTTTTTTTTAATTGACTAGCATCATTTCTTACCACACAATCCAGTATCTAGTTTAAAAAAATAACAAAACAAGAAAACTAATTGGCAAGAGATAGAGTTGACAAATGAAAAAGGTTACCCTAGAGGTAAACCATAAGCTAAAATTAAAAAGTGATAATCAAGAAGCTGCCACTTTATAACTAAAGTAAATTTGATTTTCCTTCATGTCACCGGAGTGAGAGGGCAAAAGAAAATAATAATAGTGAGTTGAAACTAATAACAATGAAATGTAAAAATAATAATAATAATAATTATGCTGTGTCCAGTAGTGGTCGTTTTCTAAATCTGTGCTATGAGAGTATCTAATTGAATACAGCAATGGGCCATGTGGTCTCTGGTGAATTTCTAGACACCTGACTAAAAGATGTCCATGGTCTCTGCATCTCTTCCCTTCTAGTTGCCTACTTTCTTTGCTCTGGGTTAAACTCCTGTTTAATTCCTCATAGGCGTGTTTATCATTCACGGAATACCCATGTAAAAACCTGTTCCCACCTACCCCTCTGCCACTCATCAAGGCCAAAGACACACAAACATGAACCAGTGTCTCAAACTCCAGTGATACCTTGGATATTTGTTACAGCAAAGTACAGTAGGACAGACCACCTCAAAGGGAGGCAAGTATGTATGATGGTCTGACTGCATCCTGGAGCAGTTCGTGAGAACCAGCCTGTCCCCTAAAAGTAAAGAGTTCTTCAACCAGCTCCAAGCTGGAACTGAGAAAGTAACCACGTCACACTTCGACCTTTCACCGAGGCTTCTTAACCAGGTGTAGATCTTGCTCCCTGCTACAGTTCTTCTGCTACTTAAAGTGAAGTCATGCCAACACCTGAAACATAGACTTGGTTGTGGTCACGGACTCTCTTTATTCACATTTCTCAGGGTGGTCACATGATTAAACTTTTTTCCCTCTGCTTTTCTATCTGGTAGTCTCTTTAATAGCAGTTAGGGTAGGTGGCCAAGTCTAGCTTTTTAGGCCTCCCAGAGCTGGGATGCTGGCTCTAAAACCCCAGTAACTCCCCTTTTCTTCCAGAACAAGTAACTGACTACAAGGTCCTTACGGAGTTTAAGACGCAAACAGCATTCTATCTATACTCCCCCAAACTTCACAGAAATATGACTGTCATATTTTAAAATGTTTTCACGAAGATGAGTATACGCCATAGACCTGTCATTGTCTTGACTCTTGGTCCAAGTCAATCAGCAGAAACAGATCTGGGCTGGGAGCTAATTTAGTGTAAGGGAAATATTTGAGCTATCTACCTCATTAGTATTAAGATTTGGATAAGAACAGCTTGCACCAGCTCTCACTCAAAGGCACCTTGGAGTTCCTTTTAGAAAACAGCTTTAGGAAGGCAGAGGAAAGGGAGCACTTGGGATACATCTAAGACTTTAGGCTTTGAATGAGTGTCACTTCCAAACCTTGAGAATGATGATGCCTGTTTACATTTCACACTGCTTTACACACTATAAAACGTTTACCCTTAACATGTTTCTTGTCTGACCCTCACACAGCACTGTGAGGGTATATTTTACAAGCGAAAGAAAGAAAGAAAGAAAGAAAGAAAGAAAGAAAGAAAGAAAGAAAGAAAGAAAGGAAGGAAGGAAGGAAGGAAGGAAGGAAGGAAGGAAGGAAGGAAGGAAGGAAGGAAGGAAGGAAGGAAGGAAGGAAGGAAGGAAAGAAGGAAGGAAGGAAGGAAGGAAGGAAGAAAATGCTCGGTATTAGAGTCAGCACAAACCTGAGACTGGCAGGCAGGCAGGAGTACAAACACAGCCCCTCCTCATAACTGCCTTTTTGGATATGGGGGGGGAACTCAGAACACATAAGATTGCATCAGTTTGCCATTAAATATCAAGATGTTGCTAGGGCCATAAAGCAGACCAGGAATGGAGTGTGGGATACTATATCACTCCAACATAGAGATTCCTTTTAAACTAAAACTGAATCTGTGAAGTTATTTCCAGAACTTATAAATCAATATTTGAATCAGCATCTTCTAGGTTTGCCGACAAACACGGCACTGAAACATGCCTGCAGCACACCACGGCCAGACTTTAGCAGTTCACACCTATTTTTAGATAGTGGCAAGGAGGCTGTGGAGAACTTAGAACACTAGGTTGTGCTGAGAGCCTTAGTAGAAAAATATTTCAGAGCAACTTACAGCATTACTTCAGTCTTATTTCAGTCTTCCGCCTATTTGAAGAATATGTCAACACGTAAATTTATTATTATAAGAAATGATGTTGCAATTCTCCTCATTGTATGGCTAAGTCTGCACAGGATTTCTTTTCTTTCTTTCTTTCTTTTTTTTTTTTTTAACTAAGAATGGCAGATTAAGGCTGGAATCAGACTTCACTCTCTCATTATTTTCAAGATTTACTCTCATTCTTGTGATTCTTGCCAAGTGTCCTAGGCAAACAGTTTTTGTTGGAAGAACTGGTTGGCTTGGTAGTGTAAGCGCACAGCTACTGCAAGGCTCTCCACATCTCCGTTCTCAGCGTTCCAAAATAAACCACTGGTGTCACTGGAGAACTTCTGGAAATGTCAGTTTGCCTACTCTAGACCTAATCAAAAACACAGAGATCCATGCTTTCCCCGCCTCCCCACTAGTCTTTCAGTAGACTAATGTTTGAGAAGTTCTCAGATCAAGTCTACCAGCACTGCTTGCTACAGAGTATGTGTACCCTTCTCCCAATGTACGTGGTAAAATCCTTAACCCTACATTGAGGAAGTTAAAAGTGAAGCCTTTGGTAGGAAAGAGGCCTCATGACTCAGATGAATGCTGTTATGAGAGAGACTCCTACTACTCGTGAACTCACATAAAAAAATGGGTATCTATGAATTCAGAGGTACGCCCTTGCCGGACAGCAAATCTACAGGCACTGCGACCTTAGGGTTTCCAGTTTCTAGGGTCATTAGAAATATTTCTTAGTTGTTTAAGCTGTTCAGTGTCTGCCGTTTTGTTGTTGCAGCCAAAACTGAGCAAGACACTGGTTTATTACAAAACGTGTTTGAAAACATGATTTCTTACCACATGCCCACATATCCACTGGTTTTCCATAAGGATCTTTACGCAGGACTTCTGGAGAAAGATACCCAGGTGTGCCAGCAAAACCTAGGGCAGACAGATGCTCATGAGTCAGGGTTGGCATGACAACATCAATAGGAAATGACCAACTAAGATAAAATGCCTTGGGGGGCTTCTTTAACTGAAGAAAAGCTCTGTTTGTCCTACCTTGTAGCTTAGTTGAAACACACACACACACACACACACACACACACACACACACACACACGAGGTGTCGAGGTGTGGAGGTCAATCTACTATGATATGTAGTCTCTGTGATATGGTGACACTTTTTTAGATTTTTTTTTTTTTACATCAGTCATATAGAAGTTCAAACTAAAACTGTGGAAAAAAATGAGAAAACTGAGGGTAGATTAGTTCTTTGCAAAAGGTGATATCTAAATGCCCATGATAATCAGTCATCTTTAAAGAGAAACTTGGGACAGCTACATACTAAGGGCAAATTAAAAACAAATTTTCAGAAAATATTTTATAAAACAAGTATCTTTTGGGAACAGGGCCATGAGGCCTACCAGTAAACTGAAGGACTCATTCTGAGAAGGAATAAGCCCAGGAAAATATCAGTTCAATGTGTACTAATAAAGATTCAGGGTGTATTTATAACTGGCAACTAAGAGAACACTCAGGGACACTCAGATGAATCACCCCTGAACGATGACCAAGGAGGCCTCCAGCTTCAGAAGACACAGTGAGCGGGGCTGGACGGCAGAGAAGGCTCCATGTTATACAAAGCAGTGTAGAATGCGAAAAGGAACACTTAAGCAATGATAAAATCTGTGCCTGGACTCCAGTGGAAAATATTTTCCACTTCTGAAAATGAGTTGTTCAAATAAAGAATATTTAAAAATAACAAAGGTAACCATTTTCATTTGAAAGTGTTCTTTCAGAAGGCAAAAATGGAAAAAAAGGAAAGTCTCTTGAAAAGAGCACTCCATAGCAGTTCCTCCGACCATAAACTAATAACTAATGCTGAGTTGCGGTATTTACTTACTGGTAGGCTAAGAATCCAAGAAATAGATTGTTTCTCATTTCTACAATGAACTTATACTACATATAAAATAAATAGTATAAGAAAGAAGTTATATGACCGAGATATTTATCTAGCAAAATTAGATTAAATAAAGGCCAAGGATTTTTTTTTTTTTTTTTTTTTGCCTAAACTTCATTCATTTTATGACTTTACTCGTTTTCTGTTTGGAAGAAGGGGGTGGATCATGAGAATGGACTCCAGGGCAGGCACCCTCTGCATAGCTTCAGTTTTACAAGGCTCACCATTAACCCACTGAGGTTCCACTGCCTGAGGCACAAGGAGGGTATAATGTGGAGTCGCTGAGAAGCAGCAGTGGGTCCAAATGCAAAAGGCTCCCCAGTGTCCCTGCTGTACCCTATATCGTATATACTCTTTCCACTGTACGCACCCTTTCCACACTCACCACCCCCTCTCAACTCTTCATGAATGATGCACAAAGAGAATCTGGTGAAACTCATCTAAAGTTCTGATGAAGACCAGTGTCCTGAGTGTGTGCTTTCAAATCCCTCTTAGACACCCGATATAGCTTTGTTTTGAGCACTTGACCTGACTAGCCTCTTTCAGGTCTCTTGGAAGTGAACTTCTCATTCTTATAACGATGCCAATATCTGAGTCCCATTTTTGTTCCGTCATCATTCTCATTAGATGTCTATATTTGTCTTTCCCAATCTCGCTCTTTCCTATGCCATCCAGTTAGTCCATAATTTAAAACTATTAAATTTCAATTTGTCTTAAGCAACCAAGTCATAATTGATGGCCATGAGCAGAGTGTTAACAACATTCTCCTTAAAAAAAAAAGAGATAGAATGAAATTACTACTTAAGAGTGAGAAATGAAAAGTTTGTCAAGATTGAGGGTGGTGGCACACATGAATAAAATCCCAGCATCTGGGGCACTGAGATCAGAGGATTGTGATTTTAGCACCAACCTGGGCTACACATGAGAAAATAAGTAGGCAAGCAAGCAAATAAATAAATAAATAAATAAATAAATATTACAGATATTTGAGCCCTCACCCTGAGACCAATATGCTAAGAGAATGCTATCATTCTTCTTCTTACTGAGAACCTCCCATCACTTGAACTGTCACTTGGCTCTAGTCTAAATGTTCAGAATCATACACCCAAATGCATGGGTTTCAGGAAACAATGCACTATGCAATGCCCTCATGAATATATAGCTTGCTGGAGCACAGCAGGCAAGATCTTCATCACGAGATTTAGCTCCTAAGAATGTAGGATTGTTATGATATATGCTATCAATGTTAATAAAAACGTGCTCTCTCCAAAGGTAACATGGCTTTTACTTCAAAGAACTAATAGAGCTATCAAAACAGACAACAAAGAAAGAAACAGAAATACTAACTTTTGGAAATGTAACCATTAGATTATCTTCCCCACTTGATATTTAAAATGAGAGACATAACAGCAACTAAGTAAAGTAATTCTTTACTTCTATGAGGCAAACTCATGGTAGTGAGCCTCTGTTGCCCCAGCGACAATAAAATGTTAAAAACATAATGAAGATATCATTTGTATCCAGTTCCTTAGGAGAAATGGGATATATGAGTATGTTTCTGTGGTACTTTAATTTTACAATTTAATGAATGTGCTCCATAGAATATTAATTCTCACAGTTTTGACCCGTATCCAAAAAGACCAGGATTAGAGAGTGAGAAGCGAATGAAAGGAAACCAAGTGCGTGGAATTAAAAACGAGAATGAAAATAAAATTAAATCATTTTTACATCTTGCATTATGCGCTAGTATGCGTGTGCCAGAGGACAAGCTCAGGTGTAGTTTCTCAGGCACTATCCACCTTGTTTTCTGAGACGGGGTCTCTCAATGGTCTACAGTTCACCAGGCTGGCAGCCAGTGAGGCCCCAGGTCCCGCTGTCTGCCTCGTTCTCGTTAGTGTGTGTGTGTGTGTGTGGTGTTATAAACATGTGTTACCATCTCCAGATTAAATTTTTAACATATTATTTTCTATTATCATGAGGAGAGGGTGCTCGCCTCCACAGCATGCTGCGCATGTAAACCTTCCTATTCATTCTCAGGGAGGAACCTTTTGGACCACAGACGTTTTGTTTTCAACGTAAAAGACCTTGTTCTCTCCATATTTTCTCTTAAGATATTTCCTGACGATAGGACCACTGCCTTAAAATCAGTGAACACACTGGTAAGCTGACCGTCACCACCTTCCTGTGGCTACAAAATGCTGTTAGGAGCCAGGGTTGCAGGCTGGGAGAGCACAGTAGCATGAAGGAGGTAGTCCTTACTCACCAAACCACGCCTGCTGATCGCCTTGAACTTCTATGGCTAAGCCAAAGTCTGCCAGTTTCACAGCTGCTCCTTTGGATTTGCTAGCTAAAAGCAAATTCTCAGGCTTTATTTAGAAAGAAAAGAGAGAGACAGAGACTAAAGTGAGAATCTATTTTAAGTAACTACTTAAAATTACCAACATTCGTACAAGATTAAACGGGGTGGGGGAGGGGGTCTGGGAAAGAAACTCATGCACTGTTGTCACTGGTGGAGATTTCCATTCCTAAACCCCAGGGAAAGTGTGGTTAGAAAACGGTAGAGAGCAGTCATGTGTGCAGGCTTCAGACAGATGCACCGGGCACTGCAGAGGCAACAGAGAGGGATGCAGTTAGTGGAGCGTCGGCCTTCGCCTGCCCACATGCCTTCAAGGACCACTCAAGGAGCACACTCGGCCACGGCCACGGCCACGGACAGACTCAGAACAGCACAGACAGTTTCAGCAGGAGGAAACCTAGCAAAATGATAACCAGAGTTGCACCAAACCTACGGACATTTGGCAAAAGAAACTGCAAATTAAGTTCCACTTGATTTTAAGAGTTTGGACTCAAATGAAGCGATTTTGATTCCTCAGTGTTTCCAAACAATTTCTGCACAAGTTCTGGAGACGTACTCAGAATTGGGTATTAAAATGGCTGTCTTTAAGAATCTGCTTCTCCTTAAAGGCAGAAAAAATATACTGTTTGCCAAATGTTATAGTTAGCGTTAAGCAAAACTTTATAAGCCACTTTTTTTTTTTTTTTACCATGTAATTAACATTCCTGTCAAATGTGACTAAGATGTTACACAGATATCTATTCTCCCACCTAAAATACTGTGACAGAGAGACATTTCTCTTTGGTATCGGTCATTCCTCAAGCACTGATAAGTCAGTCTTGGCATGAGGCTGTGTCCACACCATTGTTTCCCAACCACATTGGAACTTTGAAAACAAGCATGGAGACAGAGCCTGTGATTTCCCTGGCGTTCCTCGTGGATTTTTAAGACTCGGAGTGGGGAGATGGTTAGGGAAAGTGTTGAGTATTACGTACAGTGAAGCCTAGCCCACTCAGACATCCGGATAAACACGACTAGATTGGCATACATATGGGAGAATGGTTCAGGTTTTTCCTGTTTTGGGATAAAAATCAGTGAATTTGGGCCTAGGTCTCCACTGAAACAGTTGGGAAACAATGGCCATCCCAAGCACCAAAACCGTTCTCTGAAAATTGGAAAACTTTATCGGCCAAATGATTTGGTTTATTTGTTGACAAACAAGAAAGCTCATAGCTTCCATCCATCAAGTTGACTCCGCTCTGTTCGTTGGATTTGTCAATTTTTGTGGATTGTTTTGGACTTGTGTAAACACAGCCTAAACCGGTATTTGTTAATCAAGCCAGCCATGCAAAGTAGCAAAACCCATAAGCAGAACTTAGAAGGAATTAGGTTAAATCTATAAGAAATGAGAGCGTGAGCAAGCAAGTTTTAATTAAATACCAGAATTCTTCAGGCGATTGCTGCTCACTGCCATCAGATTCACTATTCTTATGACCACTGGAAATGTGAAAGGACCTTCGTAGCTTTTCAGGGCTGACGTATGGTTTGAACCACCTCAACACTAAAGGGCATCATTTAATTTAGAGTTTGAGATGAAGATGTTTCAAGATTATAAAAGTGCCCTATGTTCATATAACTTTTATTATGACTTGGTGTTTGAAATTGAAAACCTGGATATTTATCAGTGTGCTAATATATTTAATCAGGCTAAATGTATTCACTTTTGAAAATTTAATTTCACAACTAAAATTTATGATCAACTACCTTCCACTTTCTAGTTTAATCGACATAATTTTCTACTCCTTATTTATGGAATAAGTAACTTGGACCAAGCACATTGAACTGTTGATTCTGCTTGCTTGGAAACTTTACATTCCAAAAGACTGAGATATCAGAAATGTCTGCTAATATATATTCAATCTAATTTGCCAACCACAGACTCGTTCATGTAAAGAGTTCCAATCACTTCAGAAATCAGGGTCATTTTAGTATCTTTAAGTCTAATGGTATAGAATTTACTTGAGCAAATGCCAGTGAGTAAACTCTTTTAAAATTTTAGTGAGTAAACTCTTTTAATATTTAATGTGCATTCACTCTTACCACTGCACTGAAAAGCTTCTGGGCAGACTCTTAAAAGCCAAGTCTCTGGCAGCCAGAAAAAAAAAAAATGTATGCCTTAGAGTTTAATCACACATAGCCTCTGAATGACTGGGGCAGTATTCAGAGCTAGAGATGACATAGAAGGCCTCACTCTAGGACCTGTGAACCATAAAAAAAAAAGACTCCACTGAGATGGGGGTTTCACCTGACACCCATGAAGACTGTTCAGCGGCAGCTATGTACAGGAGAAGGCAGGCCTACTTCTAAGGGATAGGACACATTTAAAAAGTGACAGCACTGAGATGGTTTTGCATCTGTGTGTATCACTTAGGCAAATCTAATGTAGAAAATACGAATGGAAGTGGAAAAGCTGGAACAGGTATTGATGTTATTAAAAGAATCTGCTTTTTAATATTTCACTCTAAGATTGCTTCAAGTGGCTAGCTTTAACAAAACCCTAAGTACATCACACAGATTTTATTCTCATTGAGTTTCTTTAGAAAGGCCAGTTAGAATAATTTTTGTAACAAGGTCTGTGAGACTGCAGGAGGCTGACTCACTATTAATTTCTAGAGAAAGTTTGAGTGGGGACTGTCATATGAGTTTTGGGTTTTCTTGAATCACTATCACTCCTAACCTTTGACTATATTGTACTATTAAAGTCCACTGCTGAGTAGTTCAAACCCTGCATACCAAATAAAGGAATATATTTGTGACCAGGTTACATCGAGGCAGGAAAAAAAAAATGTTGCTGAATGCATGGTTGCCTTCTTAGGAAGGATTTCCACCATGTGCCATTTGCAATTATTCCATTGTTTTGACTTCCTAGGATGAATGTGACAGGCAGGGTCAGAAGAACAGACCTTCCAACATACCTGCACATAAACACAGACTCAGCAACAGGAAGGAGCTGGGCAGAATGATGACTTAAGGGGAAAAAAGTGAACTCTGATACTGCAGACTTGGGCAATCCCTGTCATTGATCAATTCCTTCATCTCTCAAATAATATTACGAGGCTACTGAATTGCATCTCATGAAAATATCTAGTGGATTTGTATCATTAAGAACATTAGGTATTACAAGTCCCCTGTCATTTCAAAGTGCGCTAACATTTTCCATCTATAATGCATGTTCGAAACTGAAGAAATGTTCACATAATTTCTGTGTTACCCTATAGGTTTAGCCTATGTAATTCCTATGTATACTATGCAGTGATCTCTACGCTCTTTACAATGTGATCACTTTTTAGGTTGGTTTTAAAATAGATTCTCCTGACATTCTCACACACAGGTTCCTTCCCCACCCCATTGCTTCCTAATGGTGCAGGATTTTCCATGACATCTGGTCTCCGTGTCAACAACCATTTATAGCATATCAGCTGCAATGAGCAGCAACTGTGTGCAAGTTTTGTTGTGTGTTTCCATACGGATATGAAAGCAATAGCTTTCAGGATGATGTAAAGACTTATTGAAATTATTAAAATATCTTAAAGTACTTAAGCAAATTATAGTCACTTTTAGAACTTGTGGAGACTTGGAATAGAAAAAAAGAACAAACTTAAGCCCCCCAGTTTATAAAGGTAGAGATGTCCCAAAAGAAGAGTCCAGTACTTGATGCTAGATTTCTTAATTTCTACACATTTTGAAACACATGTGTGTGTGTGTTTGTGTATAATGTGTGCATGCACCTGTGCACAGAGAAGACAACATGGAGTGTTTTGCTTTATTACGCCCCACTTTACTTGTTGTGATGGTGTCTTTCATTGAGCATGGGGCTTAGTGACTGTCTAGGCTGGCTAACCAGTGACCCCTGGGATCCTGTCTATACCTCAGAGTGCTGGCATCACAGGAAGGCTGTCAGGGTTTTGCAAGCCCTTTACTCACTGAGACACCTCCTCAGCCCCAGGATTCCTCCTTTACACATATGGTACTTGTGGTGGTTTGAATGAGAATGGCCCCCAGAGGCTTACAGATTTGAATACTTGGTTACCAGAAAGCAGCACTATTTGAAAGGATTAGGGATTAGGAGGTGTGGTGTTACAGGAGGAAGTGTTTTGTGGGGGTGGGAGGTGGACTGTGGTGGTATTTAGATTTTAAAAAGCCCATTCTAAGCACATAGTCTCTCTCCCTGCTGCCTACAGATCTCCCAGCTATGTCTCCAGCATCATGCTCCCAACCATGTGATGACTATGGATTATACCTCTGGAACTGTAAGCAAACCCCAATTAAATGCTTTCTTTTAAAAGAGTTGCTGCAGTCATTGTGACTTTTTACAACAATAAAATACTGACCAAGACAGTACTGATATTCCATTCTGATAGTATAAAATGGTTCTTTTCCATAAGGCAGTCTGCTTGGTAGGTATTTGAAGCAACTTTTGAAGTAATCAAAAATAATTTCCACCTACATCTAAATAAAATTAGGGAAAATTTAGGAAACACAGACATAATCGTAATCTTGAGTCTTTAATTTGCATTATCTTTATTAAGAAGCTAATCTGGAAGTGGTACCTGTCACATGAGCATTATTCACAGGGTTTATCTGATATACATGTAATCCCTGTCTATATATGATAAGACTCAGTCATTAGTAACATACATGTCAAGTGAGCAATTTACTATTAACATTTTTATTTTTATTATAAAATGTCAAATGAGTTTATTGTGACATATTACTTGATTGTTAAATTCCCGTAGATACTATTTGTAATATTTTTTTAAAAGTCTTTCAAAATTCCTTTTTTTTTTTTTTTTTTTTTTTTTTTTTTTTTTTTTTTTTTTTTTTTAAATCTCAACAATACAACCAGAAGGTAACTATTCTCTGTTTTGGTATGTTTTCATCTTCCGCTAAGAGACTGTGTTAGCAATGCTCCCAGAAATGAACTTAGTGGAATTTTGCACGAGCTGAAAAGTTTGAATGCCATCTTCACTTATTTCATTTACACGGTTTTAGTTTTCCTTTATTCTATTCTATTTTTACAGGAGTGAATTCCTGATTTTATATGCTGAGAATAGGGAACTACTGAGTTTTCAATCAGGAACCCATCCTTGTGGTACCATGCACAGGCAAGCAGACTCAGGAGAGACGCTCCTCATCCCACTCCTGTCTCCTACTTCACTTCCGCTTGTGAGCGTACCTCGCTGAGTTGAATGAGAGAAGCATAGTGTAACTGGTGTGACTGTGCTTATAGCTACTGCTTCTCAACAGCCTCACACACCGCAGACACACAAAAAATGACAGAATGACCCCTAATGTATGGGTTTCCACATACATTCTTTCTAAGAAAGTGCCACAAATCCTATTCAGACGTGATTTCCTTTAAGCTTTTCTCCAAAGACGGTTCGGAGAAAAAAAAAATGGGACAAGCAAAATTGTAGCTATTCAAAATTTAGGATTCACAATGTTATGTATATCTACTACACATAGCTAACCAAAACTTACTGAGTGATTTGCATTACTCCCGGTCTCTGAAAACTAATTTCTTTCTACTCCAATCATAAATTTCTACGAGGTAGTTTTAAACATCTGCCGAATTAAAGTGCCCGCCTATCTGTCATCTGTCTGTCTATCCTAATATCCTGTTCATCCTTCAATTCATTTACCCTTCCATCAATGTTTTCCTATCTACATGATGATTCTTCTATTACATGTTACTCAGAAAATAGGCCATTACGAAAGCAGAATCTTCTGCTGATGGAAACACAGGGCTTTGTTTTTTCAGCTAATAGCTTTGATTATGTCATGAAGCTTCCTAGTTTCCAAGTAACACTATAATCTAATCACTACTGTTAGAAACTCTAATCCTATCTAGCTATGAATCAATGGTCCCACTACTGGATACAGTAAACACTGTTGGACATAAAATACACGTCCACTGAGAACAGCCAGATGGAGACAGATCTCCCTTAATCTTGAGCCATCTCCTGCTTCTTTACCCCAGTCTGCCTACTGTGCCTTAGTCTTGGTTCTGGATCCCAATAATTTTATCTTATAGATTCCGGATGTTAGTAGTTAATCAAGTATTCAAAATAGTGAGTGTTATTGTTATTTTTAAGATAGCTATTCTTCTTATGGGTAACCTATAATTAAGATTGCTCTTACATTATAAATGTGCTTTATAAACATTTATTCTTTTATTTGAATTTTATCTGTTTCTGAATTGAAGAAGTATGTTGCAAGCCTTGCCTATGTTAAGATCCTTTGCAAGACACTGTTGAGTCACACAGCTGTATAAAAGTATCTTAAAATGTACTAAGTACCTTTGATAATGATAATAAACACAGCACTGCCATGTTTTCCTTTAAGTGATTTACATGAACTAACCTACATGCATTCAGTATTTGAATTTTATGTGAACTAACATACAAATCGGAATAAAGAAATCAAAACAGAAGGTGTAGAAACCATGAAGGAAACTTTTGCTTTAAAGCCTGGTGCTGAGCGTCTTTATATTTGACTATATTGGTAAATGTGGCGCTCCCGGCAGTGTGACTTATACATAGAAAATGCATTCCACATAAAGGCATAAAACAAAGTCAGGGGTTTAACGCATTTACGCGTGCATGTAATGCCTTTATTGTACAAGTTTTAAACTCTATTAGTATGATTAGGAAGTGTACTGACAAGCTCTGAGAGGCAGGCTTGGTAGGAATCTACACAAGTCATCAATTTGACAAAACTAGGCCAGCAATTACAGAAATTACAGTAAGTGCTGTCAAAAGTCCATCTCCATCCTTTCTGAAGATCAGAGTGGCAGGATGGAGAAAACAGGGTACATAGCACACCATTTCTTTTGGTAGTAAGCCTTGCTAGATAGCGTTTGCCTGGATTTTTGATTATTCGGTTTAGATGTTATGTCAGAGAACTGTTTCCTTCACAGCCAATGTCTCAGGCCACTGCCGTTTGTTTTTTTTTTTTGTTTTTTTGTTTTTTATTTTATTTTCAAGCTCCAGTCTTTGAAGGGCTTTGGCTGAGTCTGTACACGTAACAGCAAACTCATGTCCTGATCCCATAAAATATGCCATAAGATTGAGGGGAGAGAATTCCCACTTTCCATGTTTGGCTTTAGAATACACATATGGTCATATCAGTGCAGTTAAAATGTTTCAAGTGGATGTTAGGGAATCTGACGAGAGAGTGCCAACAGTGTGTGTATCCACCCAAGCCCACTGGACAGGTGAGAAGTGGGTGCTGACAGGTAACACAAAGGGGTTCAGACTCCTGGCAGGGCATTAACGAATTTTTGAAACGATTGCTCAAGATGGGACTTTTCAAAGGCACACCCTCTTTTTCTTTATCCTAACAGGTATACATGGTAAGTATTAGAAAATGTACACCATCCTATCTTTACTCTTCTAAAGAAAACACCCTCAACCACAGCTTTGCATTTCATAGTTAAAAATTCTCAGAATCAACTGAAATTAAAAAAACAAAAAAATTCTGGAACACAAAATCATCGTTTTGGTCAAAGCATACCTTCACATGAAGACACTGGGTATTTGGGTATTTAGATGCAGATTTGTATTGAACATTAAGGAAAACTACAGACTCATAGTTTAATACAGTTCCAGAAGTGTGTGTGTGTGTGTGTGTGTGTGTGTGTGTGTGTGTGTGTGTGTCCAGGTCCTTCCACTGAACACCATATAGCCTCTGTATTGATGCCTAGAAATGCTCGGGTTGCAAATGAAAAATTGAAACTACAATATACCGTGCAGCACCCTGACTTACTTTCCAACACCTGTGGCTTTATTTCATTTCCTATCGGAGGCTTCACTGTTTCTCAGCAATATTACAACTGAAACTAGAGTGATGACAGACTGAAACAGAAAATTAGTGGAAGAGTCCTCTAAACTATCTCATTCTAGGTGACCTAAAGTTTTCTTGTTCTCGGTGGTAACAGGAACTCTGAAAAGTCTTACATGGAGATAAACACAATCTTTATGTATATAAACACATGTTCTGTATGCTTGATCTGATACAATCTTTTTCCTTCTTTATTTTTAGTAGATTGTATTGTCTTGGATCTTAGAAACACAAATTAAGAGTGTAGGCATGAAACCTATGCTCTTAGAACTCCAGGAATTAATGGTTGGGGAAAGAGTTCAGAGTTCAAAATGGCACCCAACCTCTGCAGCAAGGCCTATGTTTAGAATTTTGAAAATTATTTCTATGTTAGATACATAGTATAAATGTAAAATATCATGCTTGAACAGTGTCTGCAGAAAATCATAAACCTTAAAATCATCTTAAATTCTATGCCCATTCCTTGGGATATGGAAATAAAGCAAGTCACAAACTGTTTATGTTAGCAAACTGTTTCTCTCTGGAGATAGGATTTGGATTCATGTATTAGAAGGAGCCCGCATAACTGCACTGCTTGAAGTTTTGTTTTCCTTTCCGGGCATAACTGCAGCTGAACAGTCATTAAGAACTGTGTGGTTCTTTCTTGATCTTCTCCAACGTCATTACTCACCTTCAGGTCCCGATGGACCACGCCCATCTGATGGCAGTGCAGCACAGCCTCCAGGATCTGCTGAATGCAATGACTGCATGCAAACACCAGGGGGCGTGTGTTAGTTCCAAGCTTACACTCACTGTCTGTATACCCTCAGAGAGACCGGGTTAAAGAGCGAAGCTAGGAGACAACCAGTGTTGCATTTTAACTCCTTCCGTCACAGACACACATTGCTCAAGGAGAGTGACTACTACCTCAGAACAACCAGGATATTGCCAGCTGTGAGCCATGATGTGAATCAACTTGTTCTAAAAAGATCCATGTGGACAACATCTCATTTTGGTCTGGAGCTCATTTCCTGGTTATAAATTCTTCCAGGAAATGAACTGGAACGCAGATGTAACCTCGGTAGCCGCGCTTTGCTGCCGACACTCCACACACAGAAACTCTCTGCCCCTTCTTTCCTATTTTTCCAGTAGTGTTCTAGAAGTTAGGCACCATTAGGTTAAACGAGGACACAATGAATCTTTGAGAGTCGTGGGCTTCCTGCGCCGTGTGTAGCCTAGCTGGCAATCTTTACCCCTTGCCTAGGGTTCGTCAGGCTCAAGTGAGCAATGCGTAGCCAGTTGTCCAGCTTCAGCAACCTGTGGTCTCAGAACAGAAGTGGTGTTGAAATCTACAGGCGGACATACATCACAGGCCAGCTTCATTCCAGGCCAACGCTGGACAACTCAGGAAAGCCTGCCCTCAAACCGACTCTGGTAAGTGACTGCTTAGAAACGTAGCATGTTGTACTGACGTTGCTCTCCCCTTCCTGCTATGATGTATATTTAGCCTGTAGATGAGCAAACTGAAGAGGCATCATGCATTGTCATTTCGTTATTCGGTTCAAGAAAACACTGGGAAAGGCATTTTAAGCACCGTTTTAAACGCGTCTCCCCCCACCTCTGCCCTTTCCCAGAAAAAAAAAAAAAAAAAAAAAAAGCCAAAGAAACTTCTTTGATTCAGATTTATGGACTTCATATACTAACCTTCAGGTCCCTGTGAACTATGCCATTTAGGTGACAATGATTTACACTCTCTAGAATCTGTTGTATACAATGACTGCAAAGATACAAGGGCAGAATGGAAGGGAGAACATTTTAAAGGCACATAATCACATTGGATACAAAATAAAATGAAGGTTCAAACAAAACAAAACAAACAAACAGAATCATATTTATTCACATTTTTCTTAGCTTTACACCGGAATTAAATAATACTGAATAAAGCTAAATCTGATTTTTACTAAAATGACATCCAACATAGAATTTGTGACATAGTCAGACAAAACAATTTAAGCTGTGTTTCCTCTTGTCAGTCTACAGATTAAGTCACATGTGAGAGCAGTTGAGATCTCCCTATTTGGGAAGAAAATTTGATAGTTTAATTCCCAAGATGTTCTGGGAAGATTACCTGGGAAACATAAAATTTCCATGTGTTTGTCATACACAATCTAAACTGTTTAAGATCTGAGGTCACAAGTAAACATGTTGAAACAAGAGGGTAAACACAGATGAAGTGGTAGGTGAAAACAGGGATTTAAAAAAAGAGGCAGGACACACTACACACACCAGTGATTTAGAAGGGGTGTTTCCTGTGCGACACAGGAATAACAAAATGAATGCAAGCCCCAAGAGGAAGCGGGATTGAAAGTTGACCCATGACACAAGATAAACCCCTTTCACTGTAAGAAGTCTCTGAGGAAGGGCCAAGGAGTGTTCAAGTAAGTTTAAGATCCCTTGGGGACCGGCAGTTGTTAAATCTACTTCCATACACTTCAGTGAAGGAAGTTTTACTTACTACCATGTTAAAATGCGCCATTGATGCTATTCTTATCAGCAGCTTGCTGACATCAAATCAACTGCTAATTAAATCAGAGAAAAATCTTTTGACTGGCAGCCACCAGGCTCCAAATAAGCTGCCACGTGGCACACAACAACGCAGAACACACCACACTGACAAGTGCTGTACACAGTCACCGCACAGTTCAAACCTAAGTACAAATAAGAGGGCATTGCCTCAGGGGAGGGAAAAGTGCACGACCCAGCAAGACCATTTCCAGCCACTTGGTGTGTCACATAATGAATGATACCCTACAGGAAGTTACTGAACTGAAAAAAAGCAATCACTGTCTAATTTTTAACAATGCAAATATCAAAAACACCCGTGACAATTGTGATTCTTTGGCTCTAACTCTGGTGATGGCGTCACTAAAACAGCCTCACACTGGAGGGTGTTGACTGCACGCCTCATTGGACTATGACTCTTTTTTTTTTTTTTTTAACTGTGTGGCTCTTTTATCACACTGTAAATCCCACACACTCTTCCTGAAATATTTATCTAACCATAACAATAACATACTTGGCTTATGACCAAAATTAAAAAAAAAAAACAATAATTACTGGTAAGTTAATTTCACTATTCTTTATTACTGAGGATGGATTTCATGCTTAAGCTCTTGAGGGATATTGAGGAAATGAAGTTTTAAAATGTTGGGAGAAGACACAGCCTCTTCAAGGTTATACCCGGGCACAGAATTATTCTTGATTTAGTGTGGGATCTCTACCATTAAAACTGTGCTAGAATTAGTGTCCCAGCTAATACAGGCATAATTATGAAGTGGCCCAACCGGGGGCTTTGCCCCGTTATCTACACTGCTTGCCAACATCTAAAATAGTTTCTACCTCATTTCAACCACAAGTTTTTAAACAGGGTATGTTTACTGTAACTTAAAAAGGCAAAGTAGATAACATTTCCTCTAAAACTTTTACTTTCTAGATTTACTTACTTTATTTTATGTGTACGAGTGTTTGTCTGCATGGAGGTAGGGGCACATGAGTGCTTGGTGTCCACAGAAGTCAAAAGAAGGCATCCAGTCCTCTGTAACTGGAGTTTATGAGTGGCAGTGAGCCATTGTGAGGGTTGTGGAAAATAAACTGGGGTCCTTTGCAAGAGCAACAAGTGCTCTTAACTGTTGAACTGTCTCACCAGCCTCAAAACCCCTGTCTTCGTTGATACCTTCATTAAAATCATTGTTCCCTCTTGGCAATTGGGCAGATAGCTATTACAACACTGTGCTAGGTGCCTTTCCTGAGGATAAATGTGAGGATCTGAGAACTAAGGATTTACTCATCATAGCACAGGCCAAACAGAATTTTCTACTAGACACCGACAACAAAACATCCATTGCAAATTAAAGTGTAGTCAGGCACAGTCAGATGCACAGAAACATTTGTATTAAGCCAACGAAATGTAGTGGCATAAAACCAAGAAAAATCAGAAATTGAAAGCTGAGCTTTTTGAAACACAGTGAATTTCTGTCTTTATTTTAAGGCAGTATTTCAATGATACAGCACAGGCTACCCTGGGAATTCCTGACCTTCTGGCCTCCACCTCTAAAGGGCTGGGGTTACAGGCAGACACCATGCTTAGGTGAAACATGAGTTTTAACATATCATGTGTTACTCTGGAGGAATGAGGAACTCCAGTATTAGCTGAGTGCCCCTGAGGGTCCCTATACTGCTACAGCCTTGAGAAGCCTGGAGAGCTGTAGAGATAGGGCCGACAGCTGACGATTTAAATGTCCTAATAACATCAGTTATGTTATGGTGAGCTAATTGCTCCTCATCAGATTTTTCAACGTAAGTGAAAATTATAGACTGTAGAAGCAAAATTGACACCAGCAATTCTAAATAGGTCAGGGCAAGTAGAGTAATACTATTTTACTCCAAAAAAAAATGTCTTTGAGTAGCCTAGGAAATTTAAAATTAGATAAAACGCTAGCCCTCTCTATAATTTCCATGAGCATTTTGCTAATTAACAAAATTGGGAAGTTACTTGCTACTTCTCAGAAACAGCAAAGTAAATGCTTTGCACATCAGCATTCCAAAGGTTTTGATTAAATGTCCAAAATGTTATATGCTAATAGTACCACTGTAAAGGAGCCACAGAGGCCTTTTCTGGTCTGCTCCTCCTTGCTGACTGGTGAGTGGTACCGTGGAACTTCCTGTGACGACCGGAGAGCTCTGCCCTGCTGGCGCTTAACAGGCACTGTGGCTATGAAGCCTTCACAACGTGGCTAGCTCAACGAAAAATGATTAGAAAAGGATTTAAAGCAGACTTATAGTTTTTCTTTTTTTCTAAAAGTCATTCTGGGGATCTTTGAAAGACAGAAACCATCTGATGAAGGACTTATCATAAAGAGAAGTCCAAGGTCGTAAGATGAGATTATCATAAAGACTGGATCATGTCGTTCTTAAATTTATACATACGTACGTATATAGAACAAGTGTCAGTGATGGGAAGGATGAGTCTGTCTTGCTCAGGGCAAGCCACTTACCTGGCGTCAGCCTCACTATAATATTCTCTGGCCACTATGTCTTCAAACAATTCACCTCCAGTAACTCTGTGAAAACAAGAGAACCACATATTTAAAAAAGAAAGAAACACACTTAGTTTCCTAGCACTCAGATTTGTGTTATCAATAGATCAGGGGGTCACAAATTGTCCATATTTAATAAATATACACAGCAAAATCTTCTACATAAAATGATTTCTAAGAAAGTCTTTATTTTAGTTTTATAGATATTGATTAAGGTCTGACAATATCTAACATAGATTAGCAACATTTTATGAACAACATACACACACACACACACACACACACACACACACACACACACAGATGCTCTGAAGGCCGCTGTAGCTCTGTGTACCTCTTCAGTTTTGTGTGTATATTATTAACATGTATTTTTTCCCTTTGTAAAGACACACATAAAGATACAATTTTCTAATTAGCATAGGATCATACATCATTGATAAATAAACCATATTTTCATATTAAGTTGAGTCGAGGGCATTTCTTAATATTGGAAATAGTTTCTCCTGTTTAATAAAACACATGTGTGTTTGTATGCACACACATATTTGTATATTGTAGGTTAATTCTAGAAGAAAAATTCTTGCCAGTAAAATTTCCAGGTCAAAGAGCACCCATTACAATTGTGGGGAGAAGACAAGGCAAGCTGCCTTCCAAAATAGTTCATCCCCCCAAACTGGGAAGATGCCCACAGGCTAAATCATTCCTACTATTTGTTATCAATAACTGAAAATATTTATGTAGTAAAGGAAATGTTTTTACTCTTGGTGAGGTGTGTCTTCTGACAGTATTTATGTGTGAATTCTTCCTCCATTCCATCGTGTTTGAGTTTTGTTTTGTTTTGTTTTTTAATTTTATTTTTTATTCACTTTACATCTTTGTCGAGGCCCATCCATCTTCACCTCCCAGTCCCCCTCACTCCCATCCCCTTCCCCTATTCCTCAGAAAAGGGGAGCCCCCTTCCCTTCCACCCCATAAGAAGGTTTTGGCGTTGAAGCACCTTCTAACTAATATCTGTTGAACCAGTATCTTTTCCAGTGTGTCAAACAGTGTAGAGAGCCTTAGGCTAGATTACAAATCTTCACAACTGAGACAGTCAGGCTTATTCCAGACATAGTCAAAGCCAGTGACTACAGCGCATCCAGCACAGAGCAGAGAGCACCCTACACAGCCCTGCTCACAGCCCTGCCCAGCACAGCTTTCCTGTAAAGACACTGCCAATCACAGGCCTACACCGACCTTTGGACAGGCATAGGCTTGTGCATGATCCCAGACACTAATAATACACTTCCTTTTGCTCTCTCCACTGCCTGCGTGGCCTCTACTGTTCTGGAACATCATGGAAGGACTGCCGCCCCTCGACAGCTCACCCTTTCAAGATTGGACAGTAAAATCTGTATGCTTCTCTGAACACTTGTGTAAATAAATAACTTTCTCTCCTCTCCTCTGCATTATAAATTCTTCAAGGTCCCACAATGTGAGTGCCATTACTTATAAGCATTATTT